TATGGGGCAGTTCTACTCTGTCCTTACAGGGTTACTATGAGTCGGAACCGACTCCATGGCGATGGGTTTGGCTTGGTGTTAGAATGGGCATAGGATCTGGGATCTAATTTAATGTCTGGATTCATTCATTTGTGGAACAAATATTTACCAAGTGCCTACATGTGCTGAGGCCAGCCAGGCACTGGGCACACAACAGTAAGTAAGATAAACAGGACCCTGACCTCATAGAGCTTATAGACAAGTAGGGGATTTGGACAATGAAATGAACTATGAAACTACCGTTTTATAAGTTCAGGGAAGTCCAGGTAGCAATATAAGCACGGGGGAGAGGTACCCAACCAAGCTTAAGGGAGAGAGGGTGTCCAGAAAAGTAATTTTGGGGGAAGTGATGACCAAGCTGAGAAGTGATGTTAGTAGGACAAAGAGGAAGGGATATTTTAGTCTACGCAAAGATCCGCACGTAGGAAAAAGAATAAATGGCATGTTCAGGGAACTGAAAGAGTTCAGTGTGGCTAGAGCACAGGGTGGGTGATGTGACTGGACAAGTAAACTGAGGTCAGTTTTTGCATGCCTCATAGATCATAGTGTGGCTTTGACTTTATCCTGAAGGAGATGGAGTGTCATTGAAGAGAAAAAAATATCTACCCTTATTTGTTCTTTGCCTCATTTTTCTCTCATATTTTACACACACACAACATGTAAAAATGGCCTAAAATCCTTTCTGGAACAAAGTGAGCATATAATAAATTAATTCACTAAATAACATCATTAAAGAAAGCTAGCTCAAGTGAAAAAATCCCACATAACCCATTTGAATTAAGAGAATATATAACCAACAAAGAATGCATAGATGCATACAGCATCTTTTGAAGGATAAGCAAGAAATTGGTAACATGGTTGCCTCTGGGAGGGAAGCTAGGTGAGGGGGGGAATAGGTATGGGAGGAAGGCTTTTACTATGTATTCCCTTTTATCTTTCAAATTTTGTGCCATTTATAGATTAAAAACTAAATAAAATTTAATTTTAGAGGAAGTAGCCCCAGTCAACAAATTTAAATCAACAATTGCAGTCTCTCTCCTGTCCCCCTTTCCACCCAGATAGTCTATTAGAATGGCAGACTAGGGTGACAACATATTGATGAGAACAGGAAAAATGTTGCTCAGAGAAGCCTTGATGGGGAAACAATTAGCAAGATTTGGTGATGGCTAGAACAAGGGGGGCAAAACATAAAGAGGATTCGAAGTGAACCTTTCATGTGTTCTCAAGACAGCATTTATAGTTGTTCATTTCTTTGCTTTGTCATGTGTAATACAGTGACAATGATGGCATTTGCATTATAGGTTAGTAGTGAGCCTGACCCAAGACATGGTGTTTTCAATCGCCTCATACGCATGAGAAAACTGGGCAATGAATAAGGAAGATCAAAGAAGAACTGATGCCTTTGAATTACAGTGTTGGTGAAGAATGAACAAATCTATCTTGGGAGAAGTACAGCCAGACTGCTCCTTGGAAGCGAGGCTGGTAAAACTTTGTCTCCTATACTTTGGACATGTTATCAGGAGGGACCAGTCCCTGAAGAAGGACGTCATGCTTGGTAAGGTAGAGGGTCAGCGAAAAAGAGATGAATTGACACAGTGGCTGCAACAATGGGCTCAAGCATAACAATTGTGAGGATGGCATAGGACCGGGCAGTGTTTTGTTCTGTTGTACATAGGGTCACTATGAGTTGTAACTGACTCGATGGCACCTAACAACAACAACAGTGAGAAATAAATATGCTGGTCCCTAGTTATTAAAAGGTGAACAGACACTATACCTGATAAGGAAACCAAGGCACAGAAAGGTTAAGTAATCTCACAGAGATGACAATCTGGTGTGGAGGAGACAGACGAGTAAATAGGCAATTTCAACACACTGTGATAAATGCCTTAGGGTAAGCATCAGGTGCCTGCTCTACAGGGCACGTAGGAGGTGTGCTGTCTTAAGCTGGGTTCCCTAGCAACAAAGTCTGAGATGAGATTCTTGTACAGGTGAATGATTGAGGATGTGCTCTCAGGTGAAACCTGTAACGGAGGGTAAGGGCAGGAAAGAAGTTAGACAAGATATGTGTTTAGCTCAGGGGTCAGCAAACTTCAGCCTCCGGGCCAAATCTGGCCCACTACCTATTTCTGTAAATACTTGTAAAGTTTTATTGGAACACAGCCACACTTATTTCATTTACGTATTGTCTATGGCTACTTTTACGCTACAACTGCAACAGAGATTGTATGGCCTACAAAGTCTGAAATATTTACTATCTGGCCCTTTAAAGAAAAAGTTTGCTGATGCCTGGTTTTGCTGAATCTAGTCTCAGCTGGATCCCATGCGGGAGCTCTAGAACATGAATGGCACCATGGAGTCATCCCACCTGAAGACAAAGGGGCTGGCCTTTTTTACTCTTGTACAGGGCTGACTTTAGGGCCCTGTGCTTAGAAGGACCCCATACTTACAGTTTAGCGGAGAAGTCCAGGCCAGAAATATAAATTTGGGAGTCGTCAGAATATAAATGGTATTTGTAAAGTCTAGTATTTAATCATTACTGAGCCCTGGGATGTAGCTATGTTTACAGGTCAGGAAGAGGATCTAGAAAAGGAAACCCAGAAAGACAGGCCTGTGAAATAGGAGAAAAACAGAGAGAAAGTGCTTTCCCAGAAACTAGTAAAGAACAACGATCATGAGGATGGTGCAGGACCAGGCAGTGTTTTGTTCTGTTGTACAAAGCGTTGCTATGAGTCAGAACCAACTTGACAACACCTAACAACAACAACAGCAGCAGCAGCATCTTCATTACTTCAGCAAATGCATTGTCAGTGTCTATTATGTTCCATAGAATGTGTGCCCATAGAGCACCTCTAAACCCATCCTGAATGTTTCTTAGACTTGGAACTGAGAGCAGCTTGGGCAATTTGGCAGGCAGGGTAGGAGCAGTGGCAAACCAGAATTGGAAGGAGCCAGAAGCCTCTTGTTTGAGCCACTGCAGAAATCTCCTAACTGGTCTCTTGGAATCTATTTGTTTGAGTGATTGTCCTGAAACATAATCTGATCATGTCACACCATTCCTTTAAATCCTTCAATGAGAATATATAAGAACTTGTGACAAATTGTTTCTGGGGAAGAAAATAAGAACACTAGGGTACAGAGGTAGGAGACTTTTCATGTATTCCTTTGTGTAGTGTTTGGGAAAAAAAATTAACTATGTGCATATATTCACTCAGGAGGGATCAATTCCCGGAGTGGGACATCATGCTTGGTAAAGTGGAGGGTCAGCGAAAAACAGGAAGACCCTTCAACGAGATGGACTGACACAGTGGCTGCAACAACGGGCTCATGCATAACAACGATTGTGAGGATGGCACAGGACCAGGCAGTGTTTCATTCTGTTGTACACAGGGTGACTGTGAGTCGGAACCGACTGGACGGCACCTAACAACGACAACAACATGTATTCACTATTCAAAAGAAAAACAAAACCTCCTCCTCAAAAGTTTCTATGGCTTTCCACAGTCCTTACCAAAAAAAAAAAAAGCATTTCCATTGAGTCGATTCCTACTCATGGTGACCCTACAGGACAGAGCAGAACTGCCCCATACGGTTTCTAAGGAGCAGTTGGTGGATTCCAACCGCCGACCTTTACGGTTAGCAGCCGAGCTCTTAACCACTATGCCACCAAGGCTCCATTCCACTGTCCTTATGAGAAAGAAAATTGTTAACTTGGTTTTATAATGCTCTGCATGGACGGCCTCTTCTGGCCTGTCCAGCATGATCTCACACTATGGTAATCTCTCTTCAACCGGCTACTCTGGCCTTTCAGTTCAGCTGGGCTAGCTCTTCACCTCAGAGTTTTTACACATGCTTTTCCTTCTGCCTAACTCATTCTTACTTCTACCTCTCCCTCTCCTTTTTTGCCAGTCAATTTCAGGTCTCAGGTTTAAAGTCACCTCTTCAGGGAAGACTTCCCTGCCTGAATCCCCAGTCCCTACCAGTCAGTGGTCAGTCCCGGATGGGGACTCTGCTGGCACGGGCACGTCAGCACCAAGCACTTAGGAAAATCGTAATAAATAGTGTAATTAGCTGATCAGTTTGCCTCACTACATCTTTAGACCTCTGGGGACAGGGTCTGTGTTGGTCTTGTTCACTGCTGTGTCCCTTGGTGCCCAGCAAAGTGCATGGCACATAGTAGGTGTTCAATGAATGTTAGCTGGATGACCTTACGTCTCTGGACCCTTTGTTCATCTGAAGCAGCAGTATCAGGGCAGTGTAGGGAAAAGGGACTCGGACGAGGGAGTCACTGCCCAGCAGCCCTCCTGGACTTCCCTTTTAGAGGCCAAGGTGACACTGCCGGCGACCCTTCGTCCAGAGGGTCTGGTGGGAGGGATGGGCTGGGTCGCACCATCAGGAGCCGTGGACGTCGTGCTCACAGGTCGCACGTTTAAGTACGCGATCAGATGGATCTACCTGGCAGCTCTTGGAAAGCGGGTGATGAGAACTTCAGCAGGCTGTTGGGGAAGGTGTTTGGAGCCAGGCAACGTATTTGCTAGGCGTGAGTCACAAAACGGCCTCCTCCCCCCTCAAGGGAAAACATTTGGGCTACCAGCCGTGACGAAAGATGCGAGGGAGAAACGCCACAGCCTACTCAATTTGGACAGTTGTAAATCTCTGGAGCTGAGGATGCACGCCTGGAAGACTCCCCAGAACAGCTCGCCGCCGGCTGGGTGGGAAAACAGCATCCATCCCCGAGCCTGCGCACTCGGGACCCTGCGGCCCTGCGCACTTCGGGCTCCGCCCCGCGAGGCGGGCCCGCGCGCTCCGCCCCGCCTCCGCCCTCTGCGTGCGCACCGCCTAGAGCCCGCCTCCGTGAAAGACTGCAGGCGCATGCGGCCGGTCTTGGTCACTGGCTGCTGTGGGCTCACCGCGCGCATTGCTGGCTTAGTTCTTTAGCTGATTTGAAGCCGGTGTCAGGTAGGCAGACTCAAGGGATCCCGGGGGAACTGTTCTTCCATGCAGGAATCAGTGGCGCGAGCGGAGCCCGGCGCGGGACTGCCACACTGCCGGGTGACAGACATTGCTTCCCACCAATCAGGGGTAAGGTGGCTCGGCCTCTTGCCCAATGGGCTGCGTGCCTAACTGGAGTGGGGCGGGCGGCCCGGGCCGACTAGGTGCCGGCTCCCGCGCGCTGGGCCGCGTGGCCGCGCGTTGGTGTGTCTGGGCCCCAAGCGGCGTGGGGCGGCCGGAGAGACCGCGGGCCCCGGGCTTCACGGCCGGGCAGCGCTCGCTTCCGCCCGGCCTCGCTCGGCTAAGTCAGGGATGGCTCGTGGGATGGAGGGGGCCGCAGAGGCGCGGGAGCGCCCTTTTCGCAGCCCCCTTCCCGCGAGAAAGTCCCGGCGGCCGCCTCTATTCGGGCTGCCCTAACCCTCGACCCTCCGGCCTCAAGGCACGAGCCTAGCCATCCTGGGATGGGAGGTCAAGGTTCGACAGGCCCGCCGCGGTGGAGGATGGTCTGGGGCCTAGCCGCGGCCCCCGCGGCCCTGCCTTGTGCGTGGGGACGTGGCGCGACCCGACTCCCATGGGTGGAAGGTGACTTTGAGCTCGCCCGGCCCGCTCCCCGCCCCTTACGGGCCCCTTCGGCCCCATAGCAGTACTTCTCCGTCCGGCTACCGGCAGTGAGGATGCTGGCATTTTAAAGAAGTTCACTACCTTTGCGTGGCGCGCTTACGTCCACACTCGTTATAATTTTGAATCTCCACCATTCCTGTGACTGACACAGGCGATGCGGAGATTATCACCCCTGTTTTACAGATGTGAGAACTCAGGTTTTTGGGGCAGCTTAAGTGAGTTGACTGAGGTCCCGTGCACAAGTGGTGGGGCTGGAACTTGACCTTACAATGTTTAAAAAAAAAAAAAAGCTCTAGGTTCTAGATGGCGGTTTTTTGCCTTTTCCCCCATCTTCGTTTAATTCCTCTCCTGCATCTTTATATTACTTGTGCGCGTGAAGACCTTCCAGTATCTTCCCATCACCTTCAGAATAAAGTTCAGAGCTGGGCTTTCAAGTTCCCGCGTGATTTGGCCCCTTGCTTACCTTTCTGGCTTATTTTCCACTTCTCCCCACCCTATCCTCTTTTCCAGCAAAATTGGCCCCACCTCTGTTCTCTTCGATGCCCCTCACCTTCCTCCTCAGGCTGCTCTCGTATTCCCTTTCCCACGGTTTTTAAGCTAATTACTCCTTCAGGGTCCATTGCAAATATCAGGTCTGCAAAGCAGGAGCAGTCTCCAAGGTGGACTTACTTCCCTCACCATCTGATGGGCCCTGGTACTTTACCTTGGTCTTGCACTGAAAGCTTTCTGCTGTCTCTTCTTCCCCTTTTATACCCTTCACATGTTGTCTATCTGCTTTTCACCGCCACTGGATTACTCATTTATTTGTAAATGTTTCATGCCTAACTGGACTGCTGCAACTTGAGGTATGGGCCCAAATCTGATTAATTTTTGTGGCCCCCACAGTGTCTAGCACAGTGGCTCAAATATAGTAGGTAGTCTGTAAATGTGAGCAAATGAGTCCTTCCTGCTTCTCACCTGATCTTTGTGTACATACGGGAATATTTATTGCCAGGCACTACGGGAGACTGCAAGAATCTTCCCAGAAGAGTAAAATTGGGGCACATCAAATGCAAATAGATGAGATTAGTCTTTTGTAGAAGTAACCCACTCAATAAAAAGGGTGGCTGAAGAACATCCAAAATTTAATCAGTGAAACCAGGGTGTAGTCTCAGCAAGGGTTATGTCTGGTTAGCACATATTTGAAATGTAGCCACGTCTAATTGTCATGTGTCAGTCGGAACCTTTCAACTATAAGGTGATGGTCAGAGTAGTATTTCCCCCAAATAATAGGGACTTAGAGTCGAACAAGTTAGGGGAAATGGCAATCTGTATACCCTTTTTGGGAGATCACAGTGTACATTTAAAGGCAATAAAGAAACAAGTTGACTTTGTTTAAGCAGCGTTTCTTCAATTTATCCATAAAACCCCTTCTGGAAATCTCATGCATTTTGTAGAAGCCCATGGAACATGCTTTTGGGAATGCTGCAATAGAGGATAGAAAGAGCAGGATGTGGTTGGAGTGGCTTCCTTGCCATATGAGAGGAAAGACATTCTGAGCATTCTTACCTCCTTGCAGAGCTCATTCATTCCTGCCTTGGGGTTGGGGGGATGATGCTTCAAGCGGAACTCCGCAGTTTCCTTGTTCCTTTCTTAGCTTATTTTCATTATAACTTGGCTTCACATGGCGTGTTCCAGGAGGAGGAAAATGTCCTGACCACGCCAAAGAAAGCATTCTCTGCTATTTGGTGATTATGTTTTTCATTTTGATCACATTTGGGTTTGCTGACCAAATGATGTTTCTGGGCTTGTGAAGCTGGGGACCAGCAATAAACCCTCCCTGACAAGTCTGTCAATACCTTCTCACCTCTTGTCTGTGTTGTTTTCACCTGCCTCTTGACTCTGCTGTCTTTGCATCTGTCCCTGTTATCTCTCAAGTCTGTTCCTTCCATTCTCTGCCGTGACTGTACTACTCTTTGAATTTAATCTAATCTGCCCTCTCTTTGAGTCCTCTGCTTATGATGTGCTTCACATTGGTTTATTATCTGATGTCCCTTTCCCCCAATACATACAGTCTCTCTTCAAGGCATATCTGGGAGAGATTGGTGACAAGGGGCAAGTTGTTATTAAATTACAGTTGAGCACTGCCTATAATTAGAGGAAAATTTTAAGTTTATCTGCAACCCTTAAATGTTGAAGTTTTATTTTCTCTGTCCTTCTATTCTCACCTACAGCCTAGAGGAGCTGTATTTTCTTGGTGATACATTGTAGTTTAGCTAAAGACACTGTTAAACTTTCACAGGGGTTTGGAGTGCTAATACAAGATTGAATTTTTTTTTTTTCTTCTCTCATGTAAGAAGTAGCCAGGCACCTGGGTATACTAGCATCTGACAGTGATGCCGGCCAACATTTGGGGTATAGTATTGTATCAACAGTTTAGAGCTATTTTTTTTTTTTAGGTTGACTCTCAAGGTTGTTAGTTGTTAAAGCTTTAAACATAAGCTACGTTATTTGAGTAGCAGTTGTTTTTTTAAACTCATATTTGACTAAAGTTATTCAGTGTTCCAAGATCTGGATGTTTGTTATGATCCCATTTAAGCCTGACAGCAACCTTCAGGAGTCATATTTTGACAGACCAGGAAACCAAGGCTCCAAGAAAGCTCATAGCTAGTTAGTGGTAGAGTTGGTATTTGAACCCAGATAAGTTGATTGGTTGAGATATATTTTATGTATAATTTTTTTTTCTCCTTGGTTACACACTTGGCTGCTAACCAAAAGGTTGGCAGTTTGAGTCTACCCAGAGGTGCCTCAGAAGAAAGACCTGGCAATCTACTTCCTAAAAATTAACCATTAAAAACCCTGTGGAGCACAGTTCTACTCTGACACACGTGAGGTTGCCATGAGTGACAATCAACTAGACAGCAACTGGTTCTGATTTGTAAGTTGATTGATTGAGATATATTTTATCTATAATTTTTCTTTCTCTCAGGTCAAAAATTAAAATGAAGTACATTCTAGTTACTGGCGGTGTTATATCAGGAATTGGAAAAGGAATCATTGCTAGCAGTGTGGGCACAATACTAAAGTCATGTGGTTTACATGTAACTTCAATTAAAATTGACCCATACATTAACATTGATGCAGGAACATTCTCTCCTTATGAGCATGGTAAGCAAAGTGCATTTTTTTCTTTCTTTTTTAGAATACTGATCGTGTAGTATGTGGAAGAACATGTAGCTGTTAGAAATTGTGTGTATATGTTGTAAAATATAACTTCTGTTTCCTCCTTTAGCATAGCAGAATGATGTTTTTCTCACTTGGACAAAGGAAGCAGTAGAAATGGTCTCTGGGTGGCTGACTGAAGGTTTGTCAGTTCTCTTGAAGAAAGAAATCTGGTGACATAATAACCTTCGTCAAGTATTTGAGAAGAGGGATTATGTTTATTCTTTGTGGCCCCAATCATTAGAAATAAGATTGGTGGATAGAAGTTGTAGGGAAATAGATTCTGGCCCAGTATGAGAAGTAGCTTTTTATTAGCAAGTGCCTTTCAATAGTGGGGTGACCAACTTCAAGAAGTTGTGAGTTCCCATCAGTAGAGGCGTTCTAGCTGAGGCTGAGTCGTCACTTTGTAGGGAATTCAGGCAGGTAGAGGCTGGGTTTGGATGATCTGTGAGCTAGAGATTATTTTGCTAAAGGAGCTTGGACGGTATAAGCCAGGCTTTTTGAGGGGAGTGAGACAGTTAAAACTGCTAAGGGAGGGTAGAAAGATAGCATTTTACTACTTTGCTATTACTAAGTACCTATCAACTGTGTGATGTATCACCTTGTCTCCAATATCTGTTATGGATTAAATTGTCTCCTCTAAAAATATGTGTTGTAAATCCTAATCCCTGTACTTGTGAATGTAATCCCACTTGGGAATAAGGTTTTCTTTGCTGTGTTGATGAGGCCATATCAGTGTAGGGAGTGTCTTAGGCCAGTCACGTTTGAGAAGTAATACGAGCAGATTAGGCAGAGAGGCAAGCAGAGAGGAGGGAAGATAGATGCCACACCACGTGAAGATTGCCAAGGAACTGAGGAACAGAAGCTGAAAAGAGTCAAAGGCGTTCTATAATATTCTCTTAATGTCTAATGTTGAGGTAATCATTTCTAAGGATAACTCATTAGAGCAAAAATCCTTATGTAATATAGCATCAGGAAAAGATCAACAGACTAGAGTGATATTTAACAGAATTCTTGAGCAAAAGATGAGCTATTTCTTTTAAGGGGAAAATAAGACATTTTTCTTTTCCCACGTTTAAGCTTGTCTCCCGTTGTGATGGTAGGAATTCTGTACAAAATTTTCGGAACGAAGCTTCAAGGAATGAATGTTAAGCAAAGGAGTAAGGGGAAACTTCTCCAGTTTCACAACCTTGTTTAGGATTAAAGTGTAGCCTGGAAGCTGATACATAATCAGCATGACCTTAATATATGTATCTTATATAAATTTTGAGCCAAATCATACTTTTATCACATTTCGAACCTTACTTTGCTCAATTAGGAGAATATTTTGAAAATTTGTTTTCTGTAAGCAGCAGATACCATACTACAAAGCTCCCCACTGTAAAGTCCCATGTATCCGCAGCCTTCTAGTAGTCATTTCCTCCATTCCATGCTGTTTCATAACTCTTTCTGATTGAGTTTGTCGACAGGCTGGGGGTGTGACATTACCTTTTGGAGAATGTTTGGTAATTTTTCTTTCTCTTGTGCATATTTAGTTTTCTGGAAATAAGTTTCTTTGCCTCATATCAAGTTAATGCAGACTTTGTTCTATTCGAGCGTTTATACTTTGGGACTCCAGGTGTGCCATGGTACATGTATTTTTCACTTACGTAAACATGTTGACTCTTCCCTACAGGGGAAGTTTTTGTGCTGGATGATGGTGGGGAGGTAGACCTTGACCTGGGTAACTATGAGAGGTTCCTTGACATCCGCCTCACCAAGGACAATAATCTGACCACTGGAAAGATATACCAGCACGTCATTAACAAGGAACGCAAAGGAGATTACTTGGGGAAAACCGTCCAAGGTAGTGTTGGATTTACTTTAAGATGTTTAGTTTCTTCTAAGTATAATATTTCCTTTTTTTGTAATTTCAGCATGGGAGTGTCAAGGTATTGTTACTGAAACATACGTTCAGTTGATAATTTGGAGTTGTATCCAGTTTACTCAAAAAATCACTTCCACCACGGCTGCTCTGTGCGTGGTATCGAAGGCATCAGCCCAGCCCAGGTGGCATGATTTAAGCCCTGAGGGCTGTTATTTTCACACAGCGATGAGTGTGAAATGATGCAGACAACTAGATTAGGGCATTAACCCAGGTGGTGTCTGTGCTGTGGTTTTCAGGTTGTTCACTGGGGCCACATGGGCTGGGGGATGGTGTCTGAGGTGGTCTCTGGCCCCTCCTGAGCTCTCACCACACAGCTCCACTTGCATCTGTTTGATGTATTGGGGTTTTTGCAAGCATTCATTTGAGAAAAGTGTTCTGCTTTTAAAAAGGTGGGGTTGGAAAACTGTTGGTCCAGTATCATGGCATAGCCCAAATGTTGGAGGTTGCTGAAAAGTGGCTGAGTTATGGCAATAAGTCTGCTCTTGGCTTAGACTTTACTGGACTGAAAACTGAGGGTCACACAGACAACTGGCTCTGGCCTGGGGCTGCCCTGGGCAGATTCTGGGCTAATTGGGTCATGTTCAGATCTTAGCTCTGCCACTTACCAGCTTTATGAACATGGGCAGATTACTGTTTTTGAGACCTGGTTTCCTTTCCTGTAAATTGGAGACAATAGCAGTACCTACCTCCCGGGGTTGTTAGAAGCTTAGTCAGTAAAGTGTTCCCTGAGTCCTGACACACAGAAAGGGATCAGCTAGGAATTACAATGATGGTGATCATACAGCTTGTTGCTCTAGGTGTCCAGCATATTCATTCATTTATGCATTCATTCATTGTATTGAAAGCTCACTGTGGTCAGACCCTTGCTAGTGCTGGGGATACGTGATAAACAAGACCAATGCAGTCCTTGCCCCTGTGGAGGTTACCTTATGGGAGGGACAACAAACAGATAAAACATGGAGTCTGACAGGAGCTGTGAAGGAAATAAATAGGGTGAGAGAGAAAGGGTGACTGGGAAGAGGAGCTTTGGACAGGTGGTCAGGGAAAGTCTTCAAGAAGAGGACGTTTGAGCTGAGAGACCAGCCATGGGAAGAGCAGGAGGAGGCAGCCTTGGCAAGTATAGAGGCCCAAGGTCAAAAAGGGCTTGATTGTTCGAGGAGTGGAGGGAGGGAGCTGTAGCCGAAGCGCAGTGACCGTGGCGGGTGGTGGGACAGGTTAGTCAGGTGGGCCAGGAGGCAAGGAGTTTGGATTTTGGGTAGTGGGAAGCTATTGAAGAGTTTGAACATGGGTAACATGGTGAAATCTGCTTTGCGTTTTTAAAAGATTGCGTTGGCTCTTGTATGTGGAATAGATAATGGATATCCTTGTGTGTGAGGCCCTGTTGGTTATACGCATAGCAAGTTAAACTGTAATCTCTGCACCTTGGCTTGCAGTCTGAGCCCTACAACTAGGATTTTTACAAAGCTTTTTTTTTTTTTAAATAATATTTATTGACTTTTGGTAAAAGTATACACAGCAAGTTAGGTTCTCATTTGACAATTTCCACACAAACTGTTCAGTGACATTAGTTATATTTACCACAGTCTGTCAACATTCTTTTTTTTTTTGAACAGTTTCTACATGTACAGTTTAGTGACATTGATTATATTCTTGGAGTTGTGTAAACTTTCTCAGCCTCCTTTTCTGAGTTCTTCCTCCCTCATTAACATAAGGTCACTGCCCCTAATATTCCTGTCTAATCTTTGGAGTTGCTGTTGTCAGTTTGATCCCATATAGATAGTTCTTAAAAGAACACAATGCTCGAGGTACACGTTTTTTACTAGTTAAGCTAAACTGTTGTTTAAAGATTATCTAAGGACAGTAGTTTCAAGGGGTTATCCACCGTCTATGGCTCCAGGAAGTCTGGAGTCCATGAGAATTTGAAATTCTGTTATGCATTTTCCTTCTTTCCATCAGGATTCTTCTATGGAATCTTTGATCAAAATATTCAGTAATGGTAGCTGGGCATGATGGCAAAAGAGGCATTTGTTCATGGAGGCAATTAGCCACACATTCCATATCCTCCTCCTATTCCTGACTGTCTCTTTCCTCTGTTGCTCCAGGTGAATAGAGACCAATTGTTGTGCCTGGAATGGCGGGGGCAAGCTTTTAAGACCCCAGGCACTACACAAGAACTAGGAGGTAGAACAGAAGCAATAAACATTATTATTAGGCCAATTAACTGGGATGTCCCATGAAACCATGATCCTGAGCCTCCACACCAAGGAACCAAATCCCTTGAGGTGTTTGGTTGTACATAAGCAGCCTCAGCAGCTACTCTTTTTTTTTTTTTTGGGTCATTGTAAATATATTTGTCATAGCTTTTGCCAGTTCAGCTTTTTACAGGTATACAACTTATTGACAGCAATTACAATAATAGGCTGTGCAACCTTACCCTTAATCAGTGCAAATTTTCCATCACCATTAGTCCCCCTTCCCCCCTCTCTCCCACCCCTGGTAACCACTAATAAGCTTTGGTCTCTATACATTTGCCTTTTCTTGTCTTTTTATATAAGTGAGGTCATTCAGTATTTATCCTTTTGTGATTGGCTTACTTTGCTCGGCATAATGTCTTCAGGTTCCATCCATACTGTAGCATGTATCAAGACTTCATGTCACCTACTGGCTGAGTAGTATTCCATTGTATGTATGTACCGCATTTTGTTTATCCATTCATCTATTGATGGGCATTTAGGTTGTTTCCACCTTTTGGCTATTGTGAATAGTGCTGCAGTGAACATTGATGTCCATGTCTCTGCTTTCAAGTCTTTTGGGTGTGTGGTTAGGAGTGGAATTGCAGTTTTTACAAAGTTTTTAACAGTGGCTGGCACTTGTTAAGCACTTTCATGCTAGGCATTAGCTTAGCATTTAGTAAGCTCTATCTCATAAAATTTTCACAGTTATGTTAAGTGGAGCTATTGCCTCCACTTAACAGATGGGAAAACCGAGCTTAATGAAGGTCATTTGCCCAGAGATCACAGCTAATGAGTGGTAGAACTGAGACTGGAATGCAGACATTCTGACACTGGGCGCTGTGCTCCAAACCACTCTGCCATCTGTACTGCCCCTTGCAGTGGAATGTTGGCCCTTTGGTGGCTGGAAACATGATGGAACAGGGTCCCGGCAGCTTCTCGTGCCTGGCAAAGCACTCAGGTGTCATCCTCCCACCTTCAGCCTTGACTGGAAGCAACATGGGTGGCTGTGTGGCCTGTTGGGCTGGTGTGCAGCCAGAGAGTAGACCTCACAGATGCAGAGGGACAAATGCCCTGATGTGGCTCAGGATGCCTTGCTTGGCCTTGTTCTCTTGCAGTGCTTCCAGCAACAACTTGGAAATCTGAAAAGGAAGCAGTGGGGAGCGTGAGGCCAAAGATTTGTTGGGGCGATTTAAAAATGTGACCCCACTGCTACTCTGTCAAGACAAATAACTCTTGGATATTAAAAATTGGATAGTTTAGCACAAGTTGTATCTGTCTGAATTCTAATTGGACCCTTTGTTTAAAATCAGTGCTGAGGGGAAAGTGTAGGTGACACGTTTCTTTTCTCTTTCCCAGTTGTCCCTCACATCACAGATGCAATCCAGGAATGGATAATGAGACAGGCGTTAATCCCTGTAGATGAAGACGGCCTGGAGCCTCAAGTGTGTGTTATTGAGGTTGGTGTGTGTCTTTTCTAAACTCCATGATTCTTGCCTGTATGAACAAGTGTACGTAGTCATCTCCTTCGTCAGCCATCAATAACTGGTAAGACAATTACTACCGAAGCCCTCAGGCCTCCTGTCTGTGCCTGAATTATGTTGCCGTATGGCAGGTCAGGTCGTAGTCATGTGGAATGGCTACACAGTAGGAAGCAATACTTTGTCCAAATAATTCTCCTTTTTCAGCATTTATAGATTAACTTAGTGCAGACTCTACCAATAAGGGTGACATGACACGTTTCTATCTACTCGTGAGGAAGTCTGCAGACCTTTGGCTTTCCACTGGCGGGAACAGTCATCTTTGAGTGAGCTTCATTTGGTTTCAGTTTCTGTGCTCCCACAGTGCTGATTCAGGCTGTTGGATTGCAGTGTTTCTTTAAAGAGAGGAGACTTAAAAGTTCCAGCAGTTTGTTTATAATTGATGTTTTTTAATACAAAAGTTGATTGTGGTTAGCTGAGGAGATAAGATCTAGACTTCTTTGCTTTGTGAATTCCATACAAATAAAGCTCTCTCACCTGACCTTTTTCTTGAAATGATATGGGAAGATCCATAATAACCTTGGGCCTGTCCAAAGAAGTAATCTTTTAGCAAAAGGAAAGGTCTGACACTGTTGGCTAACATTCTACAGGGCTAGAGAGTCTGTATTACTGCTGTTACTGATACTGGATTGTGTTGACAGAGAGCAGTTGTTAGATAATGAAACCACCAGAGGAAGGGTTAGTGCTAACCTCTAAAACAACTTTGTTCTTCTAGCTTGGTGGAACAGTGGGAGATATAGAAAGCATGCCTTTTATTGAGGCTTTCCGTCAATTCCAATTCAAAGTCAAAAGAGAGAACTTTTGTAATATCCACGTCAGTCTAGTCCCTCAGGTAAGCGTTCAAAGTTTTACTTTGGGAGAAATGGACAGGAGGGTGAAAAGGATCATTTTCACTCTGTATCTACTATTTTTAAATACTTGAGATGTAGGCAGCAGGGAAGAAAGAACTTTTTTGTGAATTAAAAATTATAACTGTATTTTTTGAAAGGATCAAATGAAAAGCATTTGAAAAGGGGGCAGTTGTAGGTAAGAGGCAGTGGATTAAACACGTGTGTTTGTCTTTACTACATGGGGACACCTCATTGTAACTAAAATAGAGGGATTTTTTTAAAAAAACAAAAATTTACAAAGATAAATAAAATGTGAGAGGAGTCAACAGTAACAAAAGTTAGGAAGCTGGGGTGCCCGGCTACCACCACTGACTGCTCTGACCAGGATCACAACAGAGGGTTCTGGACAGAGCTGGAGAAGGATGTAGAGCATAATTCTAACTC